TGGACTGCGTTGGCAGATTTGGCCCTACCAGGCTGGTTATACCACCAAGAACGCCATCTCGAACGGAGGTTTGTTTCAGTTAGCCGCTCGTCTGGGACGTTACACCAATAACGATACGTACACCGACTGGGCAGAAAAGATCTGGGACTGGAGTGCAACAACACCTCTGCTGCAGACGGAAGACTGGTACATTGCCGACACGACCACTACAGAGGCAAACTGTAAGGATCACGGTGATATACAGTGGACGTACAATTATGGAACCTACCTCAGCGGCGCCGCATACATGTACAATCTGGTCAGTGCTATTGCCTTTGATCTCTGCTTCGATGTTTTCTTTGATCAATGCTAATTGATTCTAGACAAACGGCGCCGACAAATGGAAGAAAGGTCTCGACGGTCTGCTGGCAAGTACCTTCTCAAGGTTCTTCCCGAAGGAATACGGCAGTAATGTCATGTCCGAGGTTTCCTGCGAGCCTAACATGATGTGCGATCGGAATCAGGACTGCTTCAAGGGCTTCTTGTCCTCCTGGCTTACCTTTACTACAGCCATTGCGCCCTATACTAGCGATCAGATTATTCCGAAGATCCAACAATCTGCCCTGGCAGCGGCGAAGCAATGCTCGGGAGGCGACTCTGGTACTCAGTGCGGGCGGCGGTGGTACCAAGCGCAGTGGGATGGCGAGACATCGCTTGAGAATGATATGAGTGCTCTAAGTGTTTTCTCGTCAAATATGATCACGCATCGGCAAAGCCAAGGTGGCCAATCCCAGGGACCATTGACATCGGACACTGGCGGTACCAGTCAAAGCAACCCTAATGCAGGAACCGGTCCAACAGATGCACCTAATAAGCTGCCCGATATCACAACCGGAGATCGTGCAGGGGCCTCTATCCTGACCGTCCTCTTTGTCGGCGGCTGGGCTGGTGCTATTACCTGGCTGGTCTATGGAGGTTGAGCGACATTCGAGATCTTCACTTTTCACTATGTACATAATCTGCTTCATTGAGGCAGAGACGGCTCTGTCGCTGTTATTCTTTTCTCTGCGATTTGCTGGTTTGGGTCTTCTTCTGGGTTTCGCTTATTGCGCATCGCGGCCTTGTATTAATATTTGTGTAGTGTCTTGGAGTTTTTGGCTTGGAGGGATATTGGAGTTGTGGTGTTTGGAGCGAGTCGAGCTCCACGGCCGGAGGACTCGACTTTGGGATAGCTATTGAATAACAGACATGCTTCTAGCTTTGGCTTTGCTTTTTATATGAGACGGAGTCCGTCTCACCGAACGATAGCAATCTTTCACGCCAATGTAAATCGACGCGACCCCAAATTGACTCGTCAATCCGCTCTCTATAGCCTGTAACTATAGCATTTCCCAATCCAGTTAAGACCAGCCACGCCGCCCTAATCTGGAAAGCGGTCAGACGCGCTGCAGGCTCCACGGCGGGCGAGCCAATAAGGCGGTGTCGAGGCGACAATATTCATCAGATAGAGCGATAGATTCACTTCTTCTGGCAGCAGCAGGAAGGGGACCACAAAACACCTGTCAATCCCCTGGCCCATGGTCCAAGGTCGGTGTTACTCGCTGACACTTACCGTCCCGCCATTCAATTTCACCTTCTCACCTCCAGACCTCCCTCTACAGCTTCCTCTCCCTTCCCCATCCATCCCGCCATCCAAATACGATTTATCATATAACTGATCACTACACCACGCTTTACCTGCTGCACGGATAATGCCCATTGCAGCTTCCCCTGCTGCTGCTACTTCAACCGTTTGACACACACCGATTGCGCGCATCCCATCCTTCCTCCGCCGATATGGTCTTCCTACGTCTTCGAGTCAAGGTCTACCCGCGCGAGCAGGTTGCGCCTACGCCATCCTTCTCCTTCCGCTCGATCCTCGGTGATCGCGATCGCGATCGCGATGACGCCAGCCGCAGTGCTAATGGCTCAGGCGGTGGTAAACCCGTGGCTTTTCTGCTTGTGCTTGAGAAACCCGAGGATATTACGCTGGGCGGACTGGCTGGGTTGATTCAGGATAAGTGGAGGAAGTTGAGACCTAATGCGGAGTAAGTGCATGACTCTCTGGCTTGTCTACTCTGTCGTGCTTGGGATGAGTTACGTGTACTACAGACGGATTGGCTAAATCGCGTCATGTTAGACCTCTGGACATTAAGAAACTCCTCGACGACGATCATGAATCCGATGACCTCGATGCCGATATGACTGTCGCGGAAGTGTTTGTCGATAACGGCAGAGCACGCCAAGATATGTCCGACCAGCGGGGTACCGTTCGCGTGATACAGAAGCCTGGTCAATATGCCCCTGTGCGGTTCCCCTCCGTCACCCAGGACTGGGATGCCGCTGCGCAGAACTTTGAGCGCCAGATCCAGGTCAAGAAGGAGGCTGTAAAGAAGGCGATGGATCAGATTCCGACCATCCATGAAGAGGAGGGTAATGAGTATTCGAATGCTGGCTCTGCTAGTGCACGGTCGTCTGCGTGGAGTCCCTATGAGAACCGTCGGTCAGAAATCCCTGTTTCGTCTGTCGAAAAGGATGAGGTTCCAGGCTCGCCTGCGCCTTGGGAGAAGAAGTCGGTACTGCATGAAGAGGATTCTCAGAACCAGATTGGCAGCAGTATTGCAGCTACACCTTTGCATAAGCGTATGCAGAGCCAGGAGTTAGGGGATTCTCCGTCGCACACCCCGACGCCTGAAGAGCGCCCTGCATCTAGACACAGTTCCTCGCAAGGATCTGCAAAACAGCAGGTGAAGCAGGCAACGGAAGGGCAAGCTAATGGCTCGCATGAAATGGAAAGTATTGATGGATCTCTATCGCCGTTGAGTACTCGGAAACCACTCCAACGTCGACAGATACCTGAAACCCAGCCGCCAGCCCCGGTTGTTAATGTTGACAGTGAGAGCGAGAGTGAAGATGAGACAGGAGATGAAAATGACGAGAACATGTCGCCCCCATCTGCTCAGAAGAACAAGCTCCAGAACGGCGATGTCAATATGTACGATACGGTGGAACCTACGCAGGAACAGCCGCATTCCAGCTCGCGCAAGAGGAAGTTGAGCCAGGACGACTTTGAACCGAGCAAGGAGCCCCGCCTTTCTGAGCCAGGAAGCACACATAATACCCCCAAGGGCAACAAGCACGGCACGGTGACAGTCGAGGTGAGTCCGTATACTCCGAGCAAGCGCGCGCGAGCCCCATCAATTGGATTTAGCCCCCGCCGAAGTTTTTTAATGCGTGCCCCATCCGCGCCCCCAAAACATGGTCTAGGCTTGGGAATCACAAAAAGCCCACCTAACAACCGACTTACACGCTGTTTGACCCAGGACTCGGCCATCCCCCAACCCAACTTTTTGGCCCCTGATGGTACCCCGGAGATCCCCAGCAGCGCCCCTACTATTCGCCGTGGCTCAGTATCGCTTGCCCCATACTCGACGCCGTCGAAGGCCCAGGCCCCCCTTGATAAGGTCAAAAACTTGCACTCCGCCTTGCGCAAGAGCTCCCCTGCTGAACGACCATCCGAGCGCCGATCAGTATCGTTCGCCGAATCCGACGAGGTAGTATTTGCTGGGTCTCAACCAGTGCCAAAGTCGAACCCTCAGAGTACCTCGAAAGCTCACGCCAAGGGTTCAGACGCCAACCGGAGGACGTCCGATCCAAGCTCTATGGTCTTCCCTGCTTCTGTGCCCAAAGAGCGGCTGGACCAGCTCTTGGAAGAAGCAAACAGGAAAATCGAGCAGGATAAGCAATACGAAGAGGAGTTGCAGGCTAAATTACAGACCGCACGCCAGCAGAAAGGCAGTGCTGCGTATATCCGCAAGCTACAGGAACTGTCGGACGCATGGACGGCTCTCAAGAAGGCCGAAAAGCACCAAAAGACGAAAACGGTAGCTCAGCGTAAGTTCGACTCGCTTCAGAAAGAGGTCGACAAGCTCGAGGCTGCGCAGAAATCAAAGACAGCTTCTGCCACACCGCAGAAGAAACAGCAGTCTACAACACCACGCTCTCAGCCCGCTGATGCCGCCAAATTGCCGACGCCGCATGACACGAAAGCTGCGAATGGCACCAAATCTCCAGCTTCGGAAAGTCGTGCTCAGCCTCAGAAGTCTTCTCCTATGCAAATGCGGACCAGGTCAGCTAGCAAGGTGGACACTTCCCCGAAGATTGCCAGCGAGCCTCAGAGCTCTCTAGTTTCAGACAACCTGGACCTGCCGCCCATGAGCAGAACCGTTCACAGAGCCGGCTCTTCCAAACCAGATGGAACACCAGCCCGTGCAAGCACGGTGAAATCGCCCGAGAAGGCTCCTAAGCCGTCCCCGCAGGCACCGATCGAGCTGTCGTCTGATTCAGAAGAGTCCGAGGAATCCGAGTCGGAATCAGAGTCGGAGTCGGAGTCCGAGGATGAGGAAGAGAAGAAGCCTGCGATCCGTCAAACAGCCTCTTCACCAGTGAAAGGCAACACCGCAACACCCACTCAAGTTTCAGCCTCGCAACCAGCTCCGTCACAGACATGGGCACGTCCTTCAAGTGCGACGCGCACAACGCGCACGACACTAAAGTCATTGATCCAGAACCAGAAGAAGGAGCTGGAAGCGAAAACGCAGCCGAAACGGGCGGCAAACTCGCTGCCACAGAAGCGAAGTGTGTACTCGCCGCCGTCTGACGATGACAGCGATAGTGAAAGCGAGAGCGAGACTAGCAGCAGCGACAGCGACAGTGATTAAACATACCTTTCTCATTCGACTTCTTCTTTAACATTTGATTCTTCCGGGTGGTTGTATCATCATCAACATTATTGTCAAGCGCACTGTGTTGGCATTTCGGCTTTCTATCTGATATAGCGAGAATACTTTATCTCAGTGATATTTGGACGTGTGCACCTAGCAGCAGCATCTGGCGTGCATTGTATGTATGTATTGTTTAGTTCCAATGAACAATGAAACAAGATACCAGTACTTAGTAGTAACAACCAGACACAATCTCAACTAAGGCACATTAACCCCATTCTCCTCCCCCTCACCAACACCCTCATTCTCCCTCCCCATCATCCCCTCCACCTCCCTAATCTCCCAATTCCACCCAAACACATCCTCCACCTCCCCGGTCTGAATCCCCTGCAACAACCCCATCAACCTCCTACACACCGGCCCTCCCTCCCCCTTTCCACCATCACCACCACCATCCCCACACTCAAACCCCCACTTCTCCCCCCGACTCTTCATCGTAATACTCCTCACAGGAACCAACCCGGCCGCCGTCCCCGCCGCAACCACCTCATCAAACTCCCGTATCTCCTCATACTTAACACTTCTCTTCTCCACTTGATACCCGAGCATCTTCTCCCCGATCTCCAACACCGACGCCGCAGTCACAGAATCAATCACGTTATCACTATCCGGCTGGACCAGCGTCACATCCTCCCCCCCATTCCCATATTTAACCCCGATAAACGCACTCGTCGAAAACTCATCCACCTCGCTCCGCGTCTTACTATCCAAATGCAACGTAATCCCATACCCCTCCTTATACGCCGCCATACTATGTCTCTGGACGGGCGCATAGTTGCCCCCCGCTTTAGCGCTCCCTGTGCCCTTTGGCGCCGTGCGATCGTAGTCCTCCAGGATGAGCGCGTCCACGGCGGAAATCCCATGGTATAGGCCTGTGGGTGTGACGTACACGGCGAAGGTGAATGTTTCTGGTGGCGTGAGGGAGATTTGGGGTGATGAGCCGAACACCAATGGTCGGATGTAGAGCGCTGAGAGGCCACCTCCTGTGAGGGCCGGGTTGGTGTAGGGGGGTACGTATTCGGCGTTGGTGGCTACCGCGAGGTTCACGGCGGAGAGGAAGATGGGGCTGGGGATGCGGGGGATCGAGAGGAGGGTGGAGGAGTGGGAGAGGCGGGAGGCGTTGAGGGTTGGGCGGAAGATGGTTATTTTATTGTTGGTGCTGGCATGGCGGAAGGCTTTTAGGCCTTCGTAGGCTTGTTGGCCGTAGTTTAGGGCTGGGGAGAGTCCGTGGATCGAGAGGTAGGGGGATTTGATTAGTTGGGGGGGTGACCAGGTTTGGGTTTGGGAGTCGTAGGTGGATTCGATGTGGTAGTTTACTGGTATTTAGTCAAGTTAGTGGATTGACGGGGAGTGGTAAGTCGGGATGTGCTGATGGAATGGGATGGATGGGATGGATATACCGTCGCGCACTTTGAAGCCGATGTTGGTCCAGTCGATGGAGGGGGTCGGGGGTTGGGGGAAGGGGGGCATTTTGGTTGTTTGTTTAGTATATTAGGTATGTATGAAGGAATAGGTTGATGATGGAAATAGAGGTGTAAAGTTGAAGAAGATAAAATAAAGTAGTACTGTCAGGATAGATCTAGTGTAGTTATACGAAGCAAGGTAGAAGCGGAATGCAGCGCATGTGGAATGCCGGAATCGCTATTGGAGTTCCCCTCTACTTCGTCTGCATCCGTACTGCACCAGAGGAATGTGGTTCCTCGGCTGGATGCAGCAGTCAAGTTAATTCCATCCATGGGTCGCCGTGCAGTGCAGTGCATCTCTCCGCATTTCGGCTTTTATCCCCGCAAACTTTAGTATTTGGCTAGTTGGGTGGGTATGGTCCATTAGCAGCATTCTCGAAGGAGAATACGGGATCAGCAAGATCAGCTGTCAGGTTTTACCTTGTTCCCTGTGCACATGTTAGTCAGACAGTGTATTACTACTGTGTGAATTTCTACCTGGCTGGAATTTTGAGAAAGCCCGTCTTCCGTCAGCAGGACACGGTCAATGTTAACTACCATCCCGCTCTCCTCACCGGTTCAGTATCTCAGCTCCCTCCTTCACTGGGAAACTCTCATTGTAGCCCAGCACACTAATACTCATGCCAAGCAAAGGGCTATCGAGGGATGCTTACATGACAGGGTTACTGCCCTCATACCTCGTCCGTGCATCTTACGCGAGATATTGCCCTTCTTTGTGTGAAGATCAACCCTAAGTACCTCAGTGACTGAGCCTTGCATAACACAATAACTAGTTAGTGGGTTAATATGGGTGGTGGCTGGAGTTCAAGTCAGGCCGTGGCGATAACACCATCGTTTGTCGGTGTGGTGAGACCCTTTAGTCACAATCACGCCCTTGATAGTAAGTAAGTACCTTTGTGATGATGAATCATTCACTTCTGTGATGTACTTCTTCTCCCCTGCCTTACGCAACCCGGTGCTGTCATTCCTTATTTAGTAAGATCTCTGCTGGCATATGCACTGCAAGGTCAGAACAAGTCAGATTGTCTGCTGCAGAGTGAAGTGTGAACTGGCTATATTTGGGTCCATCTCGGCCCGCGCAGGAGAATAGTATGGGGCGGGTAGAGTGGATATCTGCCGCGACGGGAAGAACAGAGATCGCTACACTACCAGGGAAGAAGAGACAGTGATCAGCGAGGGAAGTAGAGTAGTAGAATATGACTGCAAAATGAATGAATATGTTATTGTTCCAAATATATTATTATTTATAAAATACAGTTCAAGTGTTCACTGTGAACAAGGAAGTAAAGGGATGCCCCTTGTCTTACTTGTATATTGACTAGCCGTGTCGGGAATCCATCCCCGTCCCGATGCAAAAGTCGCAAACGCGTCAGCTCACGTCACGTGCGCACAGCCTCCCCTCGATGCCCCCAATCCAATCCAATTCATCCATTCTATTCCATCCTATTCATCCGTTCAATGCTGCCTCTCAATTGCCCTTTTGCTCTCCATTCTTCTTCCTGCTGCTTCAGCTCCTCCCACGCGGATCCTTCCAACTGATGACACCCCCCGTGCCATCGGATCCCTCACTCTCCAGTTTCTCTCTCCATCTGGCCCACTGTATTGGAGTCCCTCAGCATGCGGTGGCGGCTGCCTGGCGCCCGGTCGACCCTTCCTGCCAGTGTCGCACTCCTCCTGCTCCCCGTTCTTGTTGCTCCGCAGCAGTGGCATGAACCTCACCATGAGCTCTCCTCCACCGTTTCCGTCCCCCTCCGACCGACCGGTTTCACCTCCGGCGTTGATGCTCCCCCCTCTTTCGACGTGAAATCCAACGATGCGAGCGCCCTAGCAACCCTGGCTCTGGCCGGCTCTGGCCGCGCCGTTCGAGCCCCTCCTGCCCAGGCCAGCAGCTCTTCCGCTGGCCTGGCTCCGCAGCTTCACGCGCGGTCCCTGCAGGACTGGGAGGTTGAGGACTTTGTCCTGCTGGCGACCGTCGACGGTTCCATTCACGCACGCGACCGCAAGACCGGTGCCGCTCGTTGGGCCCTCGAGGTCCCGAGCAGCCCTATGGTCGAAAGCCTCTACCACCGAGCCAACCGCTCCAGCTTCGACCGTGCCCAACCCGAGGACGATTTTATCTGGATCGTCGAGCCGAGTCAGGGCGGAAGCCTCTACATCTATAGCTCGGGGCCGGAGGCTGGTCTCCAGAAATTGGGATTGACTGTGAAGGAACTTGTTGACGAAACGCCTTACTCGGGGACCGACCCGGCTGTTACTTATACGGCACGGAAGGAAACGACCCTTTATACCATTGATGCTCGCACCGGAAACATCATACGAGTCTTTAGCTCTAGAGGCCCAATCTCGTCAGGTCAGGAATGTCGTAAGGTCGATGGTCTGGATGTGGATATGGAGGAATGTGAATCTCCTTCGGGTACTCTAGTTCTTGGTCGTGTCGAATACACGGTAGCCATCCAGAATACCGAAACCGGTGATCCGATCTGCACCCTCAAGTACTCGGAGTGGACGGCCAACAACCGGGATATTGACCTCCAGAGCCAGTACCTCCGCACGATGGACCAAAGCCATATTTACAGCATGCACGACGGTGTGGTCCTCGGCTTCGATCATTCCCGGATGGACCGGCCACGATACACCCAGCGATTCTCGAGTCCGGTGGTCCGCGTCTTCGATGTTGCTCGTCCGGTCAGCGCCGACTCATCCAATGACCCTACTCCCCTTATTCTACTCTCGCAGCCTCTGCAGCCTCCTGACCCCGACTACGGTACGCTTGACGATCGTGACGAACGAGTGTTCATTGATTATACTGAGGGTGGTGGCTGGTATGCCATGTCGGAGGCGACCTACCCGCTTGTCACCGGAAGAGCCAAGATGGCCCAATGCTACGAAAAAGACTACCTCCGCCATGGTCAACCCCTGACAAGCTTGACCCCAAGGCAGCAACAAGATGCACTAGCAGGAGTTCATTCTCTGAACGGCCCACGCGTTGTCCGCCGTCACATTCCCAGCATTTCTGGTCCCTCATCCGCCGATATGTCCAACGATACGCCTCGGGAGTTGATCTATAGCTCGTCCGACCTGGCACTGCCTCCAGCCCTACGCCACAGCACCATCATACGGAAGGGCTGGGATAATGCCATTGACATTTTCGTGACGCTCTTGCTTCTCTTTTTCGGCACCTTCATCTGGTTCAATTCTCATCACATTCAGGAACTCGCCAAACAGAAGTTGGATCTGAAAAATATCATGGCCTCGTACGGACAGCCCATGTCTACCCCGCCGACCCCAATCGTGGAAGGCCCTCATTTGAAACGCGAGGCCAGCCCTAACCGCATGGCGAATCTGACTGTCGATATGAATGTTTCAGATGAGCAGCCGCAGGGTGGTGATTCGACGCCAAGGCCCAAGAAATCCCAAAACTCTCTTGCGCCCGACACCACTCCACGCGTACGCATCCGGGAACCGTCTCAAGGCCCAGATGGCGATGACGATGTGGACGAGCTCAATCTACAAGACGGCGAAAAGCCTAAGAAGAAGGCTCGCCGCGGTCGTCGTGGTGGCAAGAATCATAGGCGGGGTAAGAAGCCGAATAGCGACAGTGAATCGAGGGATCCCGCCGATCGTGTTGTTGAGGAAGTGAACAAGCTCCAACCTCAGTCTCGCTTGGAACCTGATGTACAGCTGACCCGGACAGTGTCGCATGAGATCATGGAAATGGATGGGGTTCTCCAGATCGGCCGTCTCAGGGTTTACACTGACGTGGTCTTGGGACACGGAAGCCACGGGACCGTGGTGTATCGAGGCTCGTTCGATGGACGCGATGTGGCTGTCAAGCGCATGCTGGTAGAATTCTATGATATCGCATCCCATGAAGTGGGCCTGTTGCAAGAAAGTGATGACCATGGCAATGTGATCCGGTACTACTGCCGAGAGCAGGCTGCTGGTTTCCTCTACATTGCTTTGGAGCTGTGCCCGGCCTCTTTGCAGGATGTGGTTGAACGTCCATCGGATTTCCCGCAATTAGTCCAGGGCGGCTTGGATTTGCCCGACGTTCTGCGCCAAATTGTGGCAGGTGTTCGTTATCTCCATTCCCTCAAAATCGTGCACCGCGATCTGAAGCCACAGAACATCCTGGTGGCCATGCCTCGCGGACGTACTGGCTCACGCTCCCTGCGGTTGCTGATTTCGGATTTCGGCTTGTGTAAGAAGCTCGAGGACAACCAAAGCTCCTTCCGCGCGACTACGGCACATGCCGCAGGTACCTCGGGCTGGCGAGCCCCTGAATTGCTGGTAGACGACGACATGAGCCCGGCTATGCAGGGAAGCGAGTCCCAACACACCGAATCTTCAGAACCAGCTGTGGTGGACCCTCAAACCAATCGGCGGGCTACTCGAGCCATCGACATTTTCTCTTTGGGCTGTGTCTACTATTACGTTCTGACGCGGGGCTGTCACCCGTTTGACAAGAATGGCAAGTTTATGCGTGAGGCCAACATTGTCAAGGGCAACTACAACCTTGATGAGCTGCAGCGTCTGGGCGATTATGCCTACGAGGCTGAAGATCTGATCCAGTCCATGTTGTCGCTCGATCCTCGACGACGGTAAGTCGATCCTCATTACATGCCATGCTTATACTAACTTTTCTAGCCCCGATGCGAGCGCCGTGTTGACGCACCCGTTCTTTTGGCCTCCATCTGACCGTCTCAGCTTCCTCTGCGATGTCTCGGATCACTTTGAATTCGAACCGCGGGATCCTCCTTCGGACGCTCTTCTGTGTCTCGAGTCGGTCGCTCCACAAGTGATGGGCCCGGACATGGATTTCCTGCGACTACTGCCACGGGACTTCAAGGACAATCTCGGCAAGCAGCGTAAATACACGGGATCGAAGATGCTAGATTTACTGCGAGCTCTCCGGAACAAGCGCAACCATTACAACGACATGCCGGAGCATCTCAAAGTACACATTGGCGGCTTACCGGAAGGGTATCTCAATTTTTGGACTGTGCGATTCCCCAGTCTTCTCATGAGCTGCCACTGGGTCATTGTGGAGTTGCGTTTGACTCGGTCCGACCGCTTCAAGCGCTACTTCACGGCGATCGACTAGGCGGTTGCCAACGTAGACGCCATTTACTTGTATATAAGCATAGGTAGATGATATGTTACGATTCCACAAGTGATACGAGTCTTCCTTTTCTCTAATCTGAATTGTTGCTGTAAACTTGGATATCTCGATGCATTCTGACTGTGCGCGGGGTGATCACGTGCCTCTAGTCTAGTGACTGGGGAAGCCCTCAGCGATGAGTCATGAAAAGCGCTGATTGGCCCCAGGCGCTTATCTGGAAGCAGCCTAGCGTCCCCGATGTCGCTGGACGGGAGTCACAGTCACA